ACACAGAAATTACATGGCGAGATATATGTGACAGCTGACCTAGTTTATGACAAGCGACTGCTGCTACAGAAAAGTTTTCCATCTTCCGTGCCAGTTTTACAATTCAGAAAAAGAAAATGGTGAATAACAAAGAACATGAACAATTTATGTAGTGGTACATAATACTTCAACAGTACTCCAGCTGTACCATGAATGTAGTTTTTGTCACAGCTGTACTCCACAGAATCAGCCAAATTCACAGTTTGTACTCCTTGCCATGGCATTGTGTGAACATCACCAGTGCATTACGAACATTTAAACCTGGCACCATTAAAGCAAGAAGAACAAGAAATACGTGACCTGTAACTAAAGAAAACAAAAAATATTAACAATATTTTGGACGGAAACCCTTACGGAGACAGATATATCCAAGACCTGAGCACAGATAAGGAAATAACATTAAAATACGTCTTGAGAAACAGCGTATGAATATTTTTATAAGAGTCGATTGAATTAAAAATCTGATATATATAGAAATAAGTAATATCTTTGATCAAGTGGATAACTCTAAAACTTTCCAAAGAAGATCATCTTTAAACCATCCTTCGTTAGCTAGTCAATCAGTTTGACTCTTAATTCGTTCTAAATGACCGCCTATTTGTTCGGAATGGGAAAAACGAAAAGTTCATGAACGACGTTCCCCGATAAAAACTCGAAAGGACAAAACTGTGTGACACAGGTGAGAGCGGGAGTGAAAAAATGGAATCGAAATTTTACGGACAGATTACATAGATGTTAACAGTATTTAACTGACTTAATTTTGAGCCCAGTGAAAGCGGTGAACCTTTGGCTTCTGTAACATAATAACACACGTATAAAACTATAACCTGCTCAAGAGATCTTCGTAACAGAGTTAATTATGGATCTTTTAGCTCGGTTAAAAATCGTATCATTTACTTCAGACAATATACGAAATGCAAGCTAGTGAGAAGATGCTATGCGGCATTCCACAGACGAGCAGAACCAAGAAGCCATAAGGCAAATTATTTTCAATAGACAGCGAGGAGATATGATAAGATACGGCACGATTCAACAGACGAGAAGCACTTTGTCACCATGACTACGCCATAATTCAGGGCGTGTAAACAGGAAGAATTATATTTTCGTATTTACACAGAACTGGAGCAACTTCATCAGCCTGCTCTTTCCATTAGCTTTATCCGCGTCTTGGCCATGCCCCAGAAAGATCACTCTAGTATTTAGCTATTCAATAAAGATGTATTAACTTGTGTGGTTTTGTTGCATTAAAAAAAAATAAGGAGGTGATTGCTGAGCATGAACCAGCAGCGTTAAGTGGGGATTGACTCCACTTTTCCTAGAAGATATTAAAAAGATGATAGTCGTTCAGCTGAACAAGACACGGCTCTTACAACGTACAAACCTTTAACTCCCGTCTTCAGAAACGACATGCATTGAATCTTATCATGGGCATCTTGAATCCAGTCCACACCATTGCAATCCATTTTTCTGTAACCACCGTTTTAATATTATCCCCCTGCAACTGGACTCTCCACACGAGGCTCCCCTATTAAAATGTTGCAACTAACAACAATTTTACACATATGTAGTGAATATGTCTCCTGACTCACAATTTACGATTTAATAATCCCAAATTAATATGGCGAACCATGAATACATCAACTGGCTACGCTATATACTCCATTTGTTACGCCATCCCTCTTTAACTTCATTTTCTGTTCGCCTTCAAACACACCCAAACTATTTTCTTCTCTTAGGGTGGGAGACCAAGTTTAATAGCCATATATAACAACAAGTAATTGCGGTTTCATAAATTTTATGTCTTATTTAAATACAGTGTGCAAGAGGATAAACATTCTGAACTGAATTAAATATTATTTAAACTCTATCATGAATAACATTTCATTTATATTGTCACACCCTACGATCCCGATAACACAACTCTCTAACGCTTCATGTTAAACACATGCAACATTAAAGTAATCCGCCAGGTATGATCTGGAGCCATTTTTACCCAGTTCACACCCACCCACAATGTGTATCCCCTATCCCTCATTGGCTCTCTACGATTCGCTATGTTTAATTATTTGGTCTCCCCTGTCTTCGTTATAATACTATTTCACTTTTATCCTCTCTGTCACATTCACGTGTCGCAACACGTCAACCTCCGAAATGTCTGTGAATAAATCAATTTCACTTCTTTTTCATTAGCTCATTCACTGCTTCTTTTTTTCACGATTATTCTTGAGATATCTTTTCCTGTGACATTATGTGTTCCGTAACGACTTTTACCTTTTCTTTCTTTCTTTCTGTCTGTCTGTCAAATTCGTTACTTTTGATTCTGGACAATCTGCCAGTGTTTTCAGTATGCAGTTCCGCTCTGACTTTGTCTCATTTGTTTTGGCACCGACGATGAATCAACACGCCCCATCTTACTTCAACTTCAACAGTCTGTGTGTTTGGACAATAATGCTGACGTCAGCCGGTGGGCATCATTATGAGATCTGGTAATAACGACTAAGTTTATTCTCCATACGTGATTTAT